GCTCCTGTTTGGTGCTGTGACATTATTAATCAGGGAGGAAAGATGTCAAGGTCAGGCTCAGGAGTGGCAATCACCCTGCAGTGCCCATGCAGTGATGGCCTTGCCAGTGACAGCATGGGGAACGTTCTCCCACAAAGCAAACAAAGGTGGATCTGAATCAACTGCCTCCCCAAAAGGCCACTTTCAGGTGCCCTTTGAGCAGCAGCAGCTTCCCTGTTGAACATTCCTGTTGCAGATCCCTACAGACACACATGGAGTGTCTGTTACAGCCTCCAGGGGTAAATGATTAACTCCTGTTCCACCTTGGCACTCACCTTAGTCCTGCTCATGCAGGAGGGGTGGGGTCTCCAGCAGTGTTTCCCAACCCCCTGGCTGAGGCCACGGCACTAAAAGCTGCATAAACACTCCCCAGTCAGGTGTCACAGTGGGCTCCTGGGGCTAAATTCCCATGATTTCCATTCATTTAATGAACTGGAGCTGTTCTTTATTGCAAGCAAGGAGTGAACAGATGGGAGGAATGACACCAACACCCGCAATAACAGTGACACGAGGGCTCTGCTGCACTCCTGTCTGTGCCCACTTCTCTTTTTCTCCCAACAGTCTCTCAGGTGGTCCCACAGAAGGGTCAGTCCCATTCCTTTCCCTAGGGAAGGGAAATGTGAGCACAGGCGAAACTGGAGCAAGGGCTGGAAGTTTCTACCAGTGTTTGCTTGGAGTCATTTGCTTGGTTTGGAGGAAAAAAATCATAAGAAGAATCTCACTTTGCTGTTTTCTATCCAGCTTTCCCCCCATGTACGCTTATGTGCACTCATTCCCAATACAAGGGCTTCCAAAGCTTTCCCAGGCATGAAACTAGATTTGCACCCAAACCAAGACAGAATCTTCTACTTGAATGATAAAATTTTCCTACTTGCTCCTGTTTTCTTCTAGATCATCAGGAAATTCAAATAGCATCCCCTTTATGAGGGTAATTATCTCTATGGGAGAGCTGCTGAGCGGGGTTACCTTGCACCAGCTGAGAAATTTGCCCTGGGAGCAGCTCAGCCTCCAACATTTTCAAACAGCACAATGGTCAAGGTCTGCTGTTGGCCACATTTAATGCTGCTGTGGAAATGCTTGCTATAAAATCTCTCTTGAAATTCCAATATTAATGCATTTCCTAACGATGTTAAGGAGAGCCTGCAACAACAAGGCAAAGGCTGGTAAACCCCAGCAGTCCCAAGGCAGTAGAAAACTGTAGCTGAAGATGCTTTTTGCCAAGACTGACCATAAAAACTGTCCAAAACTTCTCTCCATCCTTCTTCTTCACACCTGTGGCATCACTGACATGTTACCTGTGGTGATTCTCTTGGGTAGAAGTTTCACTGGTACATGGGATTGATATTTTTCAGAGAAGATGATGGATGAGGAAAAACTCCCTTTTTACAAGAGCCTTTCTGGAATGTGCTGCTCAACAAGCTTCCCTTTGAGAAGGAACTTTGAAATAAAATCACTTTGCAGAAGGTGTTATTGCTCCTCATTAAGTGTATTCTATGTAAATTTGATACTGAACAGAAGAAATTCTTGGAGACACCACCTCCTTCCAACCCCTGGCCACAAAGCTTTCTCCAGGAAGGACCACCTGATGTGATGAAAGGACTGGTGTTGTTTGTTTTCTTCTTCTATGCATACAATGGTGAGATTGAATGTTCAGCTCTGCTTTAGCTGCTGCACGAGTAAATAGCCTGGATATTTAATTACTGCAGCACATTGACCTGGAAAACAGCCTGGGTTGTTTTCCTGGCTGGCACACGACACCAGCTTGGCAAAAAACCCCAAAACATTGGAGAGGAGCAGTGAAGCAGTGGACAGAGACTGGGAAGGAGCACTGAATTTCCCTCTGTGCATCACCAATCTCTTCCAGAGTGATTAAAACCCAACAACAGAGCCCTACACCCCTTCATCCCCTAGAGCTCTGCTGTACCTGGCTTCCACCTTCTTTCCAGGACAAATCTCTTGGATCCACATAATGCTTCACAGACTTTTCAACCACAGGGAAGGAAGTTTGATGCCCCCATCCCATATAACCATGGTGGGAGCATTCCCCAGCTGGCACAAACCATCCAAACCCGGTGCACAGCTTCTCCCAGGGCTGTGTGTCCCCAAGGCTTGTGCAAGGAGCACTCAAGCTCCTCTGCCAGCTGGGTGGTATTTGCAGCTTAGGCAGAGCCCAGGCTGCAGCTGAGCTGCCACATAAGTTGTGCTGAACATTTCTGTGTGTAGCACAGGAGAAATGATGGTTCTGTGCTCCAGCATAAGTGACACCCCATTAGAGAGTCTGGGCCTTTGGGGGTCTGGCAGACATGAAACCACAACTTTCCATTTTCCATGCAGAAACCTTTTTTTTTATGTTTTTTTTGTTTGTTTTTTTAAAGCAACTGCTTGGGTGAGCAATGATTTTTATTGTGTTATTAATACGACCATAAACAAGAACAACATGTGTTTATAGGCTCAAGAGCTTCATACTCGCTCTCTGACTTGGTAGAAATCACCGTGGCATCAGTTTAAAGTGCAAAATGGAGCAAATCATTGTAGCCATGTTGTAAAATCATCTGGGCAGGCAACCTTTGAACAAAAGCAATTGATAGCTCTGAGGCAGCTGTACAACAGCAGTAAACAAAATAGTTGTCCACAAGCCACCAGACCTGCAGGAGAGCAAATACACCCCATGTTTTGGAAGGGGAGGGAGCACTAAGGGGGCTGAGAAAGGTTTGGGAAAGAGAAGTAAAGGTTGTTCTCTGAAGATGACAGAGCTGCTGTTGGCACAGAAGGTGGGGAGGGAGCTAGGAGGGGTGGGACAGTGCCTGCTGTGGGGGGAACCTGTACCCTGGTCAGCTGCAGGGTCTGGTTCTCCCAGACCTCAGTTTTGTGTCTGATCTCCTACAACCCTGATGTCCCAAACATTCAAATTCCTGTGACAAACTGTGTGGTCCTGTACCACCAGGAGGTTGTAGGAGCAGGACTGAGGATGTACCATGAGTAGGGAAGATCCAAACTTTCCCATGTTTTGTTTTTTTTCACACCTACTGGGGCAAATGCTCCTCTTTGCCATGTAGTAGGGGGCACAAAGGGATGTGGACCCCTTGGGAAGGACTTCAAAGTGGCTGGTGGGAGAATGGCTAAATATTGCACAGAACCCCCTGGATGTGAGTCTGCCTGGGACCTGCACAGGGGTGCTGGATCTTCTGTGGGTGCAAAGACCTGGAGAGAAGGAATTTCCTCTGTCCCACAGGGCTGGGCAGACACGTTGCCTCTGCCACGAGGAGACCAAGGGACACAAGTGCTCAGGAATGGCTCCTGCCTTGGGAATGGGAGTGAAAGATTGGAAGATGCTTCCAAGAAGTGAAAAACCAGCGTTGTGGATGATATCACCCAGTGAGGGCAGGGAGTGAGCAGGAAGGAAAAATTACACATGTCCCAGTTGTTTCACTTCTTGTCCCTCTGCCTCGTTTCGTCTGTCACCAGCCCCCGGAGCATCCTGACGCTTGGTCGACGGTTACCAACAGGCAATAAATAAAGCCTCTGGAGCCACTGGTGTCAACATCTTGGCATTGTTTAGGTCTCCTTGTTTGCCTTTAAAATAACTCTCGTCCTCGGGGTCATGCAGATGAAAAAGCGAGGACCCCCTGCCATCATCCACAGAAATCATCTTGCCATGACTTGTGCTGCGCTGCCTTTTGTTCCTGCCTGCAAAGTCTGGGGTTTGGGGAGCTGCCCGGGAGCACTGCTCATTACCCAGGGCTCTGCTGCCTCTTGCCAGCCTGTGCCTTGACACGTCACCCGGGGCGCCAGCAGGCCGCCTGAGCTGGGGCCACATCGCCCATTTCCCTGAGTGCCACACTCTGGGCTGGGTTTGGGATGCTGTACCCAGCCAGCCCCGTGCTGCTGGCTTATCTGCTGCCCGGCTGTGCCTGGCTCTGCTGCGGATGTTGGCCGGCCAGGGGGTGGAAAAACAAACGGTGGAGATGTGGATCCATGCTCAGAGCCTGGTCCTGCAAACACGGTGTGCCAGTGCCGGGCCTGGCGCTGGAGGGAAGCCATTCCATGACAGCCTTTGCCCTGGCACTGGAGCTTGGCATCATTAGCAGGCTGCTAATGAAGCTCCGCAGGCACAAGAATTACTCCTCCAAAGACAGTTTTCATCCATGATAAAAGGGTGGCTCACACCCCCACCATGCCTGCACACACCAGCCCCTGCTGGACACCAGTGCTCCCCAGTGCCTGGAGCATCTCCTTTCCTCCAGCAAGGGTTGCATGATGGAAAGCATCATCCTCCATCTCAGCTGAGTTGTGACTTGATGTCAGATTCACTCTCCCTGATCCTCTTTAGCCTGTTGTTTATAATAAAAATCAAGCGATCCATCTCTTCTGACAAGAGGAAGAGTTGCTCCAGGAAGCCCTGGACAGGTCAACTTCTATATTAAGGAACTATTACTTGACAGTTTCCTGGCCATAAATAGCCGTACAGCGAGGCTGGGGATTTTATTTAGAAATAACAAATAAAGTAGGCCATAAGTGACTTCATGACCTCGCTCCCCCTTCATTTCCCACCCATCTCTCCTCTTCAGTAGGGTCTATTCCTCATCCCCAAATTCCTTGGGACTTACAGGACCTCCATTTCCCACTTCTGAGATGCTGCAGAAACATGCTACTGCCAGCTTTTGGAAGTGTGGTGTGGGTTTTGCATCACTGAAGATTTTTTGCTACAGCTCAGCTCCAAAAAAGTTTTCTACTTGGCCTTCATTAAAATAATTAAAAAGCAATCTGCTCTGTATGCTGAAAGCTGGAAATCCTCCACTCAAAACATCCCCAAAAGTGGATTCAAACAATTACACCTCCAACACATCCCTTATTTTTCAGTCCCTCAAGCCTTTTTTTTTTAGTTTTAGAGGACTAATTTCTGATTTTCTAATGCTCAGACTTGGCAACATTCCAATCAGGAAATACAAAAGAAAAACCCAGCATTTCAGTATTCTTTTATTATTGGGAGGTTTTGATCATTTTTGTCATGCCGTTTGCCTAAAATAATAATAAAAACCTCTTTGTTTGGAGCTGGAAAAGGAAGAGCAGCGTGTTTATTTCATGTATGACTCATCAGCTCAGTGTTGATATGCAAAACGCTTCAGAAGCTAACACTCTATAGAGATGATAGTTTTTAATATAAAACAGTAAATGTTTAAAACAACCATTCTTTTTTTTTTTCTTTTTTCTTTCTGTTGTGGCCAATAAAACATAAGGCAGGCCATGTAGCTTACATTTTAATAAAATTAAGTTATTTGGTGCCATGTTATTACAGTCTTTTATTGGAAAGTGGAATAAATTGCACACAGTGGAGTCATAGGAGGGAGAAATCACTGCGAATAAACATAGATTCTGGGATGCATTTATTTGCTGGTTTCATGTCAGAGGAGGAAGGCTTTCCCCAGGAAAATGGAGGCGGCCCCGGGGTTCTGGCCTTGAGGAGGCAGCCCTGGGCTGCTCTGGGGTGGGATGAGCTTTTTGGGGACTTGGTGCCACAGTGGGGTCACCCCAGCCCCATGCAGCTGGCGTTTTCCACGGGCATCCTCCAAGAGAAACCTGTCCTGTGTCTCAACCCCCCGCAGTCCCGAGGCGCAGCTCATCCTCCTGCCCGTCGACAGCTGAAGACATTGGTCCCGAGGCTTTCTGCTGGAGGCTGGGGTTCCTAGGCGAGGGCCAGGGCACACCAGGAGTCCTGCCGGAGGGGCACGCTCAGCCCTGGCTGCGGGGCCATGCTGCTGGGGGAGAAGCTGTAGTCCTCGGGCTCAAACTTGAACTCGCCGTGGCCGCCGGCCAGCGCCTCGTCCGACTGGCTCTGTGCCTGCCCGGGGAGGGAAGCAGAGAGGGGTTAGGAGGCCTGTCATCAACCACAGGCCCACTGTTGTAGGGCAGAGGTAGATTAGGGTGGGTTGTGAGCAGGGTGGGCTATCCCTGATGCTACAGTTCCCTTCAGAGCAGTCTGGAGCTGGGCAGGAAGGGTGCTGCACCCCCTGCAAGCGCAATGACCAGGCAGAGAGGTGTGCCAGGGCCCATCTGCATTTATTCAGTGATTGGATATGTCCAGTTTGGAGATATTTAGGTGTGTGTGTATTTTTTCAGAGCACAGCACAAAGCAGATTTCTTGGTATCAAACAAAAATCCCCTCTCCCACATGGTGTAAGCAGTGCTGCACCAGGCCCTTGGGTGCTGGGCCTAAAGCTTCCCCTCCATACACACATGTCCAGGGAGAGCTTAGACTCAGCATAAAGACAATGTTGGGCCACAACATTTTGATGTGTGGGTTGATTTAGAGCCTTTTTCTCCCTAAATCAAGGTGAAATAGCAACAAGCCCCTAGGAAAAGCTTGGGACAGAGGAGGGGCCTCTGACAGCCTCACAGCTCTCTGAGCATCTCAGGGCTATAAGATGCTGATAACGCATGCCCAGGGAGCCTTTTCCTGGGGGTTACAGGGGATTCCACCCTGGGCTGATCTCTTCAACTCAACAATGTTGTTTCCAAGGCGGGAGATGGGAATTAAACTCGGCTCTGCACTGAAGCCACAGCAGAGCTTGGACACCCCAGTTCTCCACAGAAGGATGCAAGATCCCATGGGAAGCCAACAGGCTGGAGACCTTTCTCATCCACAGCATCTTGTCTTATGTTCCCTGCTTCCCTCAGCCTGAGGGAGTCCAGGCTGGTGGCCACAGTGCAATGAATTAATTGCTCCACCTCATTAAGGCCCCCAGGACAGTGGCCATGGAGGTGTGTGGATCATCCACCCCAGCCATGAGCCACGGCTCCGGGCCCTGTCCCTTACCTGGGACACTGACACGATGGTTTGTCCAGGATACTGTGAGGTTGTGCTGGGCTCTGACTTTAAAGTGACCGTGCTGTCTGAGTTGGTAATGGAAGAAGGGGAGTTAGTGGCCGAAGTCGTGGATCCTGGAAGACAATTGGTAGAGGGCAGTGAAGCAATGCAAATCTGCTCTTAAAGGAATTTATATTTTAACAGCAACCATGACATCTGTCTTGGGTTGCAATGCAAGATGTAACCAAAGTCTGTATTCTATTACCAGCTGTTAAAACCAAGTAGGGCAGTGTTCTTTACCTCTTCCATGACCCATCCCTCGTAACTCCAGGGGGATATCATCTATTAATGGGCCATTGGGTCTCACTGCATGACTGATAAAACTGGATCATCCCATTGTGAGATGCTCCACTCAGGGGAAGGAGCCAAGGATTCCTGCCTGGATATAATCTGAGATTTGGAATGCCACAGTAATCCTGTCTCCACTGGATTCACAGAGGAGAGACCAGACCCATCTACACCACCATTGAACCTCCAGAGGAAAGCTACACCCTTCTACAGGACCATTGCTTTAACAGAACCACATCTGTCACTCCAGGAGGACTGCAGCCACCATTTAATGGGACTGCTACCAACACCCTGACCAGCAGGGTGTCAGGTTGTAATCTGACTGTCAGTGGTTTGTTTTTGTGGTTTTTTTTCTTTATACTACTGCATTTTTAATTTTCCTAGTAAAGGACTGTTATTCCTATTCCCATATCTTTTCCTGAGAGCCCTTTGATTTCAAGATTATAATAATTCTGGCCGGAGGGGTTATATTTTTCTATTTCAAGGCAGGTTCCTGCCTTCCTTAGCAGACACCTGTCCTTTCAAACCAAGACAGCATCTCACAGCACGATTCTACTCTTTTCCTTCTACCACATCTGTGTCAGAAAACACTTTGTATTAGGCTGTCAAGATGCTGATGGAGGAGGAGCAACCCTTTCACAATCTGGCAGTGTTTTTTTTCCTATTACTCAATTTAGCCCAAATCTGTGCAAACATGAGCACTGCTGCACTGGAACCAGGCGCCCACAGCCCAGAGGAACCTGATCAAGAGCATGACAGCACTGAGATTTTCCACCAAACATCTTCCTATCACACAAGGCTTATGCAGAAATCCAGATCTAAAGCAGTCACCAAGGAAAAATTCTCATTATTTTCTAAATCTCATAATTTTCTTCAGAAGATGAAACACTGTGAAATGAACTGTGCTCCAAGACCCCAGGATGGATCATAACACTGTACCTGTTGAGGCTTTGCCTTTGGTAATGTTTTTAGGCTTCCTTTTCCTCGTCTGGATGCTTTCCTTTTTCATGGCCAGAGGTCGTGGTACCTTGACATTCATAAAGTTTGGAATCATTAATATTATATTTTATTCAGCTCCTTCCCACACATGTTGCTCTCCTATTTCTGTGCTGCTCATGCAAAGCAGCTAAAGTCCTTGTCCTTCACTAGGAGCTATTTTTCTCTGCATCAGGCCTTGGCTGGAAGATATATAAGGCTAACAGCTAAGGCTTCCCCACAATTTTTGTTTTTTCCTTTATTTCCTATTTTTCTTTTCCTGATTTATTAGTGACCTTTGCAATGGGGCTCTATTAAATTACAGACTGACAGACTGAGAGCCTACAGGGCTTAGAGGGAATGGGCATGGGGTAAAGAGGCTTCAGACTTTGTGGAGGGATGCAGTCTCCTCTTTGGCTGGTGAACATGTCCCCAGCATCTCCCATCCTCTGTGGGCAAATATTACCAGCCAGCCCCCATGTGGGCTCCAGAGCCTCCTTCACACATTCTTGACTAGGACATAGAGAAGAAATACGCTCCTTATCTCAGTCTGGGTTTGGGAAGCTTCAGCCTCCAGCTACTGGAGCCTGGTAAGATTTCATTTCATGGAATCCTAGGGTGGTTTGGGTTGGAAGGGATCTTAAAGATCCTGTAGTTCCAGCTCCTCTGCAACAGGCAGGGACACCTTCCACTATCCCAGGCTGCTCCAAGGTCCATCTAGCCTGGCCTTGGACACTTCCAGGGAGGGAGCATCCACATCTCTGCATTCCAGCATGCCCTCAGCCTCACCCTGGAGAAGCCCAGTAGCCTGAGCTTTTAACTGCTCAAGGAGACGGGACTTTGGTACAGCTCTTCTGGGTCCAGTCTAGAGGCTGGTCCTTCCAGAGCTGATCTCCTAGACCTGCTGGGCAGTGATCCCCAATCCCAGAGGGTCCCTCCCGGTGTGGCTGTGCTCCTCACCCCGTGGAGCTTCATGTACAAGCCGCAGGCGTTGCAGACGGGCTCGCCCTCGGCGTTCCTTCTCCACAGGGTGGTGTTGGTGGTGTGGCAATTAGTGCAACAAAGGCCAGCACGTCTCGATGAAGACTTCAAAACAAGCAAACAAACACGTGAGGGCACACACAGGAATGATGAACTGAGAAGTTTCGCTTCATATCAAAATGAAATCTCCAAGTATGCCATATTCCCAGAAAATGTGAAACATGCACAAGAGCCAAATTCAGATCAAAGAAATTACATTCAAATGAGATCACTCCAATTTGCAAGTCTTTGTTTGGTTTGGGGTTTTTTACTTGTTTTGGTTTGGAGGGTTTTTTTTTGGGATTGATAAACCTGTCAAATATCCTTGCAACTCATTTCACAAACTTCCAACAAATCTGCTGGAAGTGATCAAGACTCAGAGCATAGAGAACTTCCCTCCAGGACATCCACTCAGACGAAGAAAGAGATGGAAAATGCCAGCTGGGCTTTAAATGCACAAAGAAAATTCATACTTTAAGTGAACTCTTCTGTTTTCCTGCACTCAGAACTACCAGTAAAGTTAGAAACATCCCAATTAATCTCTGGGTTGAGACAACTGGAATCAGTTGGCTGAACTGGGCAGAACCAAACTGAACTGCTCCATGATGAGACCAGGGAGGTTTATTCTTCAAGTCTCACAGATAATCTGTTCTCTTACAGGCTGTAGAAATACCCCACAGACATTAATTAACAACATATTTTGTGAGTGCAGTGATTGCTGGCTCTTAAACATTAATAATTCCAAATGGAGAAGGAAAATATTCTGGCAGAAGTAGCAAACTAATTTCTGACAACTTCCCTCCAAGCTGCTGGAAAATTCAGATCTCTCTTTATACAGACTTGTCAGCTCAATAGGCATTTCATTTGAGAGTCTTTTAACACCAGATATTGAAACTATTTTAATAAAAGACCTCACTAAGTGGAAGATACCTCTGGCATAAGTAATATCTCAGGCTCTCCACATTTAGGTGTCTAAATATGTTCTTCAGCTACTAGAAAAATCGCTTTGAATCTGCTCAAAGGCAGACAAAAGGTGATGGAGGCAATAAAGAACTCCCTGTTTGTTTATTTTTCCATTATTGCATGATATCCTGACTGAGCAATATAATGAATGAGGTGGGAAGAGGAGGAATAAAAATGAAATGTTTTTACAAGTTTAGCAGTCAAATAAAGATCAGCTTTGAATTTCAAGAGGCACAAGTGACATGCCCTAAGTTTGATTCACTCGTTAGTCAGCAAAGAGGTCTCAGCAACTATTTGCAAATAATGGAATTACTTTGGGAATTATTCAGCTCGCAAGAAATAACCAGGCAAAAATAATAATATACCAAAATGTGAGCTGACAAGCCTGGCACAGAGGATGAGACAACAATCTTTGTCCCTGATTTGGGACATGGTGTCACAGTAAGATCCTGGAGCAGCAACCCAGTGCCCTTTAGAGCCTTTCAGTTCCAGGGCTGTGCTTCTCTTCCCTACATCCAGGAGGGGCCTGGGCTCATATGGGAGCAGAGAGAGGTGTGGAGCACCTGAAGGATGTGAGGATTCTGAGGTCCAACTCCTGCTGTGGGCACAGAGGGGAATTTGGAGCCACTCAGTCCTGGGATAACTGTGCCTGCTGCAATCTGTCCTTGCCTGCAGATGGGGAAAGACCAGTGCAAAGCCCTTTGGAAAGTCTCGAATTTTCTGGGCCACCACAGGTCCCTGTGATGGAGGGACACCCTCTCCTTGTTTCACAGGAGGCTTTGCCCAAAGCTTGCAGATGAAGTGACAATGAGACCTGTGGCTCTGGTGGCCCAAGGGCAATGCCAGCGCTGCCAGAGCTCTGCCCACTCTGCCAGCACTGCTCCTGCTCATGGGCTTCCTTCTGGGACAGTGACAAGTGCCTTCTATCCATCCTGAACATCACTCTGCAGGCTGGCTCCTCCTCACACAGCCAGGGAGAGAAGAAATCTTCCTACATCACTAGTACTACAATTTAATCCTCAGAAACCCCGTGCGAACCTGTCCCTGCACCACAACCTGCCAGCTGAGCAAGAAAGAGACAGTCAAGGCTACCACTGCTCACTGAAGGACGAGGGTACAATACATTAGTGCTGGTTTCCCAGAAATTCTCTTGAAAGAAAATGCATTTCTGCCTGCCTCCACCCCACTGCCTTTGTAGCATTCTGACCTTGTCTAGGAAGTTGTTGATTTCAACATTGTGCTCAGTGTTTATTTATACAAATGCACCATACACTCAAACAAAAACTCTTCACAGACCTGGCTTGACAGCCAAGTGCTGCTGATAAGCTCAAGGAATGGTGAATTGGTGCCTATTGAATTAACTGCATGTGAGAGCTGCTTGGAGAGCCCAAAAAATTCAAAGCCAGTGGGGAAGGTCCTTCTGAGGGAGATCAAGATGCCAGGGACTTTGCTTCACCTCCTTTTCAAAGGTGGAAAAGAAACCACTGGCTTTAACAGGGGAAAAAAAAAAAATAAAAGGCACTGAACCCCCAGATTTAATCAATGCTTCTCTGCCCCCATTTCCAACAGATTTGAGGGGACCTGTGGTTTACAGGAAAGATGTTATAGGGAAGTGTGCTGAGGTATCTGGGCTCAGCTCCTGAAAGTGGGGAACTCAGAGGCTCAGAGCCAAAGGCAGCAGCATCCTCTGAGATTTGCCTTTGTTACTACAGCTCTGGGTAAATCTGCACCCTGGAGGATGAGGGAGCAGTAAGAACTGAGGGGCAGAAGAAAACCGAGGCACACACCATGAAATGGCTTTAGGATCCTATTAGACTGTGCCAGGGCTGTGATACCTCCCATCCCCGCCTTCCCCAAAAGCGTCACCAAACCCACTGCGCATTGCAAACTGTAAAAAAGGTCAGGCTTTTTTCAGAATTCAGCTCCAGGTTAGTCCTTCAGCTCTGGGTGGTGTGGGAGCTGCTGAGCACAGGACAGCCACTGCATTTGCCCTCATGCTCTGCTCCATGTTCCCTTCCTAATAGCAGAAATTGCATCTGCCCTTCACCAGCTGCTCCTGGTTTCAAAAGTGATCTGGATTTTCAGACTAGGTCTAAGATATCACCCTGTGAAATACACCAAGAAAGTCTGGCTAGAAAAGGTGCTGCCTGAAATAAAGTGCTGCCTTTGTCCTCCTCCAATACAAACCCTTTCTGCTGAGAGCCATAGCCTTTTGAGTCCAGACACAGGCTGGAGCAGAGTGGCTGTCCCTGCTGTGCAGAAGATGTTGCCCTTATCTCAAAAAAAAAGTGGAAACAAAAAATGAAGTGGAAACTACACTCGCTGTGCCATGCACGAGCAGGCTGAGCTGCAGGACATCATTCCTGCACTGTTATCTGGGCTGTGCTGTGCTCTCTGCTGGGGGACTTTGCTTTGTGAAAACAGAAGTCAGAATAACTCCCAGCACAGTGTCTACGCACAGAACAAAGGTCGTAACGTTAAGGATGAAAGCAACCATTTTTCTCTCCTGTGTCTGTATTTCTCTGCACTGTGAAAACTGATTTCACTGTTCCTACAGCCACAGAGCTGCTGCATTCACTGCTCTGCTCCCAGAGCTGGCACCTTCTTGTCCATGATCAGTGGATCCCTCCTCTTCCAAAAGGGCAGAACTTGTTGCAACAAGACATTTCACATCCTTGGGAAAACCCAAACTTTCAAAATGTTTCATTCCAAAATGGAAATGGAATGGAAATGGAATTTCCAGAATGGAAAGTCAAAATTGCAGCCCCTTTTCTAATCCATAAACCAAAATCCCCTTAAGTATTTCAACCCTAGCAAAACACTTCCCCTGGACAAGAATCAGCTCTTTCATTTAAGCTTTATCATTGTTGCATTTATTGCCAAAATAATTAAAAAGTTTGGAAGTACTTTGGTAATTCCCAACTATATTTGCTCATCCCTGAAAAACGGTCTTAATTTTGCAAAGAAGCGTTTTCCATCAGAAAACTTTGTTGAAATGTTTGTTGAAAAATGCCTGATGGGTGCTATAGATGAGGCTCAGGCAGGGTGCAGGCAATGCATGGCTGTCTCTCTTCCCATGTGCTGAAATAAAATATGGAATAGCAGCGAGATGTCTCCAATTCCCTCAGGGAAAAGCTGCTCAAAAATCCCTGAGAAATTCATCCAGTGGCACATTCAGATGCCAGTCTGAAATGCAGAGTAGGATTTGAACTGGTTTGCACCTCTGTCTATGCAAGGATCGTGTTTGTTCTGGAGAAATCAGCAGCGTAACTCTGAGATTTGCGGCACAGCAGCGACTGGGGGTTCAGATTTAATGTCACCACATCTTAGGAGACAGAAGGATTTTGGAGAGACAGGCAAATCCTGTTGGTTAATGCTGAATATTTCACACAAATGCCTTGATTTTAATGTGGTGGGCAAAACAGGGTTTTTCCATGGAGCTACTAATTTAATTTTGCGAATCCAGAGCTCCATTTCCGAGGGTCGGAATCAGGTCGAAACATCTTGCTCAATCTCAATTTTTCTTTTTTCCTGACCGATTTTCATACACAAGAACTTGTCACATTTGGATTATTGCAAATAATTTGTTTTGCAATACAAAAAAAATAACTGCAGGAATACACCCCTAGTGAAAGCCCAAGGAGCTGCCAGCTGTTCCCCAGCATGGATCCAACAAACATCCTGTTTGTAATGACGGTGTCTGATGACAAGCTCTAAAACCAAAACTGTTACCACCAAATTTAAACATCCCAAAGCGACTCCACAAGAAAAGAAAAAAGAGAAAGATGCTCCTTTCCTCCCTCACCATGGGATCCCAACTGGAGGAAGCCCAACATTACATTGACAGAGGGAATTAATGCTTTAACCAGCAGGGAAACTGGGAACTGCCAAACCCCAAGTTTTCCCCTTAGGCAGGAGGCTGAAGGCAGCAGAGAGCAGGGCCCCATTCTGCTCCCATTGTGAGCAGCCACAAACCCACTGGGCCAGCTCAGGACCAGCCCTGCCTCCTGCTCAGCTGCTCTGCCTAGGCCATGTCTGCATGGACAACTAGGAAACAATAATATTAATATTAATAATATTAATAATATTAATAATATTAATAATATTATTAATATTAATATTAATATTAATAGTAATATTAATAATAATAATAATAATAATAATAATAATAATAATAATAATAATAATAATAATAATAATAATAATAATAATAATAATAATAATAATAATAATAATAATAATAATAATAATAATAATAGTAATAATAATAGTAGTAGAATACAAAGCAAAACACCCAGTGCAGGAACAGAGACAGGAGAAGCCTGCAGGGTCTGATCACAGGCAAGAGTGATTGTTCCTGCTCGGCTCTGGTGCAGCCCTGGGACCCCTCAGTCCCTTCAGCCCTGTCTCCACTGCCCTCTACTCGTGCCAGGACAGAAATCCCTCTGGCTTAATCCCATTCCCCCTGACCCCAGCCGGCTCTATGCTGTAACAAGGGTGTCCTGGCATTTCATCTGCGGGAGAACAGGGGGTCAAACAGACCCTAAGTCGAGTACAGAGACCCAAACAGGCACCGTGACAGCCCCCCAGCCCCTGCCCTGCAGCCAGCCCCGGGTGGAGCCGGGGCTCCCGGCGGGGTTTCCATCTCTTACCAGCCTCTTCTGCGGTTTGAGGGGCCGGTTGATGCCGTTCATTTTGTGGTAGAGCCCGCAGGCGTTGCACAGGTAGTGCCCGGTGCCGTCCTTCCTCCAGAGCGGGGTGGACATGGCTCCGCAGTTCACGCATTCCCGGCCGTCCCCGGGGAACTCCTCCAGGTATTCTGGAATAAAGAGCCGGCAGTGGGGGTCAGGAACCATCCCCTGAGCACGGGGATGTCCCCGGGACCCCGCCGGAGAGGGTCTCCGATCCTCTGTGCCCCGATACTAGGGGACATCCCCGTCCGGAGCGCGTTTATCTCCACCCTAAAAGTGTGACCCCAACCCCTTTATTTCCTCCACACCTTAATCTTTTAATATCTTGTTCAAAGACCGTCGATTCCCTTTTCCTAAAGGAAATCCCTTTCAAATCCGTTTCCCGAAAGGAAAAAGGGCTGAACATGGCTGGGGTCTCCCTGGGATGGGGAGGCGCAGGGTCATCAGCGGGAGAGCGCCATGTTATCCCAGGGTGCAAAAATAAATGGGAGCGGGGGGAAAATGAGGAGATTTTCCTGATTTCCATCACCAAACACACCCAGCCTCTGGCCGGGGCTCTGAGCTGCCCGCCGGGAGATGCCGGACAGGCACCCCAGGGGATCCCGGGCTCCCCAGCAGAGCATCACCGGCCGGCCGCGGCCCCAATTCCTGCTAGAGAGGCTCTTCCTCTTTCTGTCTTTTTGGACTTTTTCTGTCCCCGGGAAAAAACCAAAACTCCGGGGAAGCAGCCGCGGAGCAGCGTCCGCGGTCCATCCCTGCCCCGAGCACGGCTCAGCGGCAATGGGCAGCCCGGAGCGAAACCAGGACGCCTCTCCATCCAGAGTCGGGCTTTTTCCTCCTACCGTTTTTCACCCTCTTTTTAAAAAGAACTTATCCTTCTTGTTCTTTTCTTACGAGGAAAAATAGCTTTTATATTCTTTTTAAAAAAATCTTCGATCGGATTAATAATGATGCAACGGAAAGAAAAAGGAAAAAGGGCAAAACTTTAAAAGCCGGGAAACGGAAAATACAAATAAAATGTAAAGAGAAAAGGCAAAAAAAAAAAAAAAAAAAGTGTAATAATTCACTGAATTAAAAAAAAAAAAGGAAAAAAAAGAAGAAAAAAAAAAAGAAGAAAAAAAAAGGAGAAAGTAATAATTTAGGCTACTTGAGAGAGTTTACACTATCCAAGAGCAAAAATAAACGGCAGAGAGGACGGCAGCCGCTATTTTGGATCCTAAAGCACCGAATTCAAAGTGCAGAAAATATTTCTGAGGGATCACCTCCCTCGGCAGGACGATTCTTTCCCGCACAATGCAAAGGATTTTCACAAAGAGAAAACCCTGGAAAGAAAGCGCTGCCCAGCACCTCCGGCGTGGGAGGAAAAGCCGAGCCGGGGAGGGAGCTCGGTGGGGAGGGGGCTGCTTCTCTGCTTTAACTTTGTTCTTGGGGTGAAGATAAGATAATTCGGTTCACCTCAGTAAAGATGATAACGCGGCTGAGATCTTGAAGTGGCTTTTAAAGGACTTTGCAAACCACAGCCGGAGGAGGCTGGTGGAGAGCCCCCGGGGTTATAAACCCTGCGCACGGAGAGTCCTGTTAAATCAAGCCCGAAACTTTATTTGCTCAGAGCTTAGTTTAAAGGGACTCTCGGTGTGGGTGCAAAGGAATTGAAGTTTATTGTTCAACGCCTGAGCGCCTTTCGGTGTCTCCCCAAAGGCCGCAGAGCAATGCAGCTGCGGACCTGTTTGGGCGAAGGCAAATGAGGAGACCGGGAGTCTGTTCAAATATAAACTAATTTACCACAATAAATTACTTAAAAGGGAGGGAGCTATAAATCTGCCCCGCTAATTTAAACACAAGGGTAAGTATTGAAGCACAGGCACAAAGTCGATATTGTAGGAAGGAGATATCGCGGGGGTGGTGGTGGGGTGGGGAGGGAAGGGGTTGAACGGCCTCTCCTTCTCTGTCCTCCCGGGGAATTGCTCTGCTTTGAAACGTGGTCTTTGCCCTTCTTGTCACACACGCACCCCCCTCCCTTATCCCACCTCTGTCCAGGGTCAGCCGCACAAACCCCGCTCCCGGAACATCTCCCCATCCCTGGATAAAATCCCTCTCTCCTCTCCCGTCGGGGATGCCAGCGGGACAGCTCATCCCGGGGCCGAGCCACCGGCACGCAGAGGGGACGGGGTATGAGGCTGGCATGGGGTATGAGGCTGGGATGGGGATGGGGTATGAGGTTAGGATGAGGATGGGGTATGAGGCTGGAATGAGGATGGGGGATGAGGATGGGATGGGGATGGGTATGAGGTTGGGATGGGGTATGAGGCTGGGATGGGGATGGGTATGAGGTTAGGATGAGGATGGGGTATGAGGCTGGAATGAGGATGGGGGATGAGGATGGGATGGGGATGGGTATGAGGCTGGGATGGGGTACGAGGCTGGGATGGGGATGGGTATGAGGCTGGGATGGGGTACGAGGCTGGGATGGGGATGGGTATGAGGTTAGGATGAGGATGGGGTATGAGGTTAGGATGAGGATGGGGGATGAGGCTGGGATGAGGATGGGGTATGAGGTTAGGATGGGGATGGGTATGAGGCTGGGATGGGGTACGAGGCTGGGATGGGGATGGGTATGAGGCTGGGATGG